TGTTCTTCAGGATTTCATTTCAAGTCCCTAACCTTGAACAAAAATTCAATAATTTTATGGAGTGTTTGATAATATGAACCCACTTTACTATCCAGATATAAAAGTGCTTACTCTTACAACTATTGAAATTATGTTGATGTTTGGCATAACATGTTTGGTATCAGAACAAATACTAAACTCATACATGATTCCTTTATTTCAAAAGGAGTGAAATCCCTTAGCTTATATCTTATCAATATATTCTTACTTCCACTTCAGACTTTGATACTAGAGAGAAAGAGAGGGCCTAAAAAGCAAATTGACAGTCGTGCTATCTAAACTTGTATAAAAACTTAAAAACACCCAATGGCTAGATTAGGCAATAGAAATTATCCAAATGCAACCATAATTTTTCTAAAAAATCTAAACCATGTGTAGCCTCTCAAATTTGTTCTCGAGGATTTCACTTTAAGTCCCTAGCCTTGAACAAAAATTTAATAATTTTATGGAGTGTTTGATAACATAGACCCACTTTACTATGCAGATATTAAAAGTTCTTACTCTTACAACTATTGAAATTATGTTGATGTTTGGTATAATATGTTTCGGTATCAGAATGAATACTAAACTCATACATGATTTCTTTATTTCAAAAGGAGTGATCTTTATTTCAAAAGGAGTGAAATCCCTTGGCTTACATCTTATCAATATATTCTTACTTCCACTTCAGGCTCTGATACTAGAGAGAAGGAGAGGGCTTAAAAAGCAAGCTGGTAGTTGTGCTGCCTAAACTTGTATAGAAACTTAAAACTAGCACCCAATGGCTAGATTCGGCAATAGAAATTGTCCAAATGCAATCATAATTTTTAGTAAAAAATCTAAACCATGTAGCCTTGAACAAAAATTCAATAATTTTATGGAGTGTTTGATAACATGGACCCACTTTACTATCTAGATATTAAAAGTGCTTACTCTTACAACTATTGAAATTATGTTGATGTTTGGCATAATATGTTTTGGTATCAGAATGAATACTAAACTCATACATGATTCCTTTATTTCAAAAGGAGTGAAATCCTTAGCTTATATCTTATCAATACATTCTTACTTCCACTTTAGATTTTGATACTAGAGAGAAGGAGAGGGCCTAAAAAGCAAATTGACAATTGTGTTATCTAAACTTGTATAGAAACTTAAAAACACCCAATGGCTAGATTAGGCAATAGAAATTATCCAAATGCAGCCATAATTTTTTCTAAAAAATTTAAACCATGTGTAGCCTCTCAAATCTGTTCTCTAGGATTTCACTTCAAGCCCCTAGCCTTAAATAAAAATTTAATGATTTTATGAAGTGTTTGATAACATGAACCCACTTTACTATGCAAATATTAAAAGTGCTTAATCTTACAACTATTAAAATTATGTTTATGTTTGGCATAACATGTTTTGATATCAGAATGAATATTAAACTCATACATGATTACTTTATTTCAAAAAGAGTGGAATCCTAATAAGTTTCCTCAATTGCTTATAAAATGGTGGGACTATCTTGGATTTAATGAGAAAATTCTACCCTTAGCCATTAAATAAGAATTTTCATATTTTAAATTAAAAATTAACCTTGTAAATGATTCCTTTCCTGCTTTTCTACAATTTTTATCAAAACTATATGTATTAGATTTTTGCTTGGCACTTATATACCAATCCACTTATCAGATATCCTATTCTCTAAAGGGTTTCATACTTGAGGTGTTATGCAAGCTTTCAAGACTATAGAGCCGATGTGTCTCTGTGGTGCAATCATTGTTAACCCGGCTCATTACCTCAGATAGAGAGATCAATTAAAAAGTACACTCTTCTTGTTAGAGAATGAAGGACAATTAGATTGCTTTGATAATTGACACAACAGAAAACTTAAAGAAGACTTCACACAAGAAAATGAAGATAATTGCTTTAGCATTAACCTTGAAGAAAATTAACCAGTGAATTAAAAAGTTCAACTGTTGACAAGTGGCAACATGCAGATTATTATTGGATGAAGATTGTTAAGATGAAATCTGAACTATTAGATTAAATAGATTTTGATAGTTGGATACATTTCCAAATGTTTATATAAAGGCTTGTAATGTCCCTTTCAAGATCTTGAAGAGTTCTTTGTAAGCCTCCTTCAATGAAGCTTTCCATTAACTTTTTTCTACCTTCTTGTACTTTCTTCTTCTATTTCTTTTACTCTCTTGCACTTCAATTTTTTTCTTTTGTTTTGATTGTGCAAGCTATTGTTATTCTAGTTTTGTTTTGAATTTTTGTTCTTTATTTTCTGCATCTTTCATCAAGATGATGCAGACTACTACATTTTTGGTAATCTTTTAATTTCTTGCATATTTTATATTTTGCATCTTTGTTTTAATTTATGCATCTTTACTTTATATATATATATTATTTTATCTAAATATTGGCTAAAGTATACGTTTGGTCCTTTATATTATATATATTGAAATTGAAACATATATTCCTCCTCTAGAAATTTATCGGATGAGATGTCTTGATGCTCAACTCATGTCTCATCTCGACTCAACTTTCTCCCCCTTCTATTATGTCTCATTTCAAATTATTTTGGACCAAGATCGACATGTCCTAACATTCTAATCCATGGTTGCTTTACTAAAAGTCCAAATACAATTTCCTTCTTTTAAAGGAATTTTTCTAATAGATATATTGTGTTTATGAAGATTTATTTTGTTTAGATTTGTTATCTTCTAATATTTATGGCTAAAATCCTTTAGTCCTTTAATATAAGGTTTTATTTTAGTTCTTTGATTTTATAAAGCATATTTTTAATTCATTAACCCTTTATATTGTTAGTTTCATCACAATTTTTTACATTAAATCTTTTAAAATATTCTCTAATGTTGACATATTAGATTTAATTTTATAAAATAATGTAATCATTTGAAACTAACGGTGTTAAGTTAATGAAAGATACTTTATAAAATTAATAGAACTAATTGAAACCTTATATTTATTTTACTTAGATTTAAGGAATATTTTCTGTTCATTAAATATTATTAGGATATTTATTAATTATTATTAAGTTCATCTATATATTGTAAGCTCTTTAGATCAATAATACTCGTACATCACTTTTCATTTCTTTCTCCCAATAACTTCTTTCATGGTATTAGAATAGTTAATTATATTTATACTTTGTCTAGGTTGAAGATTTGTTTTATATAGATAAATGAGCCTTCCCTCCCTCTTTATTGTTTATTTCTTTTAAATTTTTTGGCCTAGTGATTCATTCCTGCAAAAATCATTCTGAAGTTTGCCACCTAGAGATTCATGCCTTTAAGAATCACTCCCAAGTTTGCTAGGGGAGAAGCTAGTTTACTACGACCGTTATTTTTTTCACTCTCGAGTTTGCCTCCTAGTAATTCACTCCCAAGTTTGTTAGGGGGATTAAGAGAAGCTAGCATGAAATATGAATCATTATTGAGTTTGCCTCATAGTGATTCATATTTCATGCCTCCAATAATTACTCTTGAATAGAGTCAATAATTCAAGCCACGAACCTACCCAAAAAATGTTAAGGCCAGGCTTGGGCTTTTTTAAAAAGGTAGCATATTTTATGCCTAATGCAAATAAGCTTGGCTATTGAAATTTCAAGTTCTATATGTATATAGAGTCGATAATTTTGGCTAGGCTTGGTTATATGATGGGCTTTTTGAAAAGGTGGCATACTAAAGCCAAATCCAAATAAGCCTAGCCCAAATTCAGTCTAACCTAAATAAGCCTGGTTACTAAAATTTTTGACTCTATGTGTATATAGAGTTGATAATTTTGGCCAAGCCTAAGGGGCTAGCCAAAACCCAACTGAAGAAAGTTAAGTTTGGGTTTAATTATATGAGTTTTTTTAAAAAGATAGGATACTTTAACCCTGACCTGCCAAAATTACCAACTTTACTCTCAAATTTGTTGGAGATCGAGAGAAGCTAGTTTTGTTTTAGCCATACCTTGCTTCTATATGATGATTCAACCTCCAAGAATCACTCCTAATAGGATCAAGAGAAGCCAGTGTGTTCTTGCCATACCTCTTCTTCACTCTTAAGTTTTATGCCTAATGATTCATGCTTTTGAGAATCACTCTCCCTAGGATTAAGAGAAGCTAGTACGTTCTGGCCGTACCTAGCTTCTTCACTTCTAAGTTTTTTGCCTAATGATTCAAGCTTTTGAGAGTCACTCCCAAGTTGTTTGCTCAGTGATTCATCCTCCGAGAATCACTTCAAGCATCTTGAGTTTGAGGGAAAGTGCTAGGATATATTATTTATGAAGATTCATTTTGTTTAGATTTAGGAAATATTTTCCATTCATTAAATATTATTAGGATGTTCATTAGTTAATATTAGGTTCATTTATATATTAGAAAGCTCATTAAATCAAAAAAGTATGCCTCTTTTCCAGTCTCTATTTCTTTCTTCCATGACGACTTCTTTTAATTCCAAATGTTTCTAAATTTACAAAAGGAAGGAATAGCATCAGCAGCCTCTTAAGGAAGAAATTAACTTCATGTGAAACTCTAATCTTCCAAATACTTTTTCATTATTCTTGTTTTTTTTTTTCAATATGCACTGGGAGCTTCATTCAACATAAGAACAACCAAAGAGTACGAACCACAAACAGAAGAGATAGAAGGAAAACCAATTGAACATCTAAAAAAGAAAAAACTACAACTACCCAAACCTATTAAGTAGGTGATTGGTCAAAAAGGTTAAAATCATAGGGAAGACTAAGAGCCAACTTAGCAAGATAGTTGGCCGTCCTAAATAATTTTCCATTATTCTAGGTGAACTTTATATGATGCAAACCCTGTCTATATACCCATCTATCTTCTCTCCTTGGCGTAGAAGAATAAACACACAGCAATCTTAGTGTCATAAATTCCCTCGTCTCTTTAAAACTTCAGCCATAAATGGCATATTTTTCAAATCCTTAAAAGGACAAAATAAGAGAAAATAGGTGCTTACTTGGCTGCCGAGGATCTTTCCAAAAACGAGTGGCCTTTCCATTACCAATGCTGAGAATAACATTGCCTTCTAACACTCTTCCTTCAGAAGTTGATTGATTCGGTTTCTGCAAATTCCCCAACCCAACTCACATAATTATTATAAGGGTTATATTTCCTTGTTTGACTTATTGGTGTGCAACGTGACTTTCAAATTTTTTTAGAAAATGAACCTTTCTATCAAGTAATTATAACCTCAATTTGTACATTGCAGCACCTGAATTTTATCACAGTGAATTAGCCATCCTAATCAAGAGTGTGATGTGTGTGCATAAGTTTATTTGTATGTGCATGTAGCGAGAGAGAGAGAGAGAGAGAGAAATAGTATGATGTATGCTCACTTCGTAATTGGTCAAATCCACTGGATCAGCAATTTTCTCTTACAAATATCATTCATGTTTTCTGGACGAGGAATACAATGACCAAACAATTGATGTCAGAATTAGAACAAAAGCTGACAACAAAACAAAGAAGAATTCAACAATTTAATCAGAGAAAGACATAGAATTGATTATTATTGCACTGAATTTGAAATTGAAACAGATTTGAAGGAAAACAAAGTGAAAAAGACATATATACCGCATGATCTAGCTCAGTCTGCAGCGGGTGGTCCTTTGCGGAATTAGTGTTCTTCGTCGACAAATACGAATTTTCCAAATCTATTTAGTTTAAAATTGATGGGTTTGACTTCTTATTTTCCTGTTCAAATCCAACACAGAACAACAAATTATCATTATCAAATGCATAATATAGAGGAAGAAACCTGGTTCAAAAGCTAGTCACAAGCAAGATCCTTTGAATCTAAGAAAACAGGATTTTCAGTTTATTTCCTTTAGGAAATATCTCTTTCCATTTTGCCATAAAGTCATAGCCGCGACCTCTTTTTGTCAATCATCCAGTTTTAGTTTAATGAAACACATATAAAGCCAGCTCTCAAAAGTTCTGATATACATAAATATATATATATATATATATAAATATATTCAATGGAACCAATAAAAGATAAAGAGCTACCAAACCATGCACATTTTGACCAATTACAAAGAAGGAATATGTGTTCGTTCCAGTGTTTCTAGCTTGCCAAGTTTCACAGACTTTTTACAATAGACAGCACTACAGTAAAATAGGCTCTCACCTTCTATAACACTCTTCTTCCCTCAATAATGCTAGACCAAATCCGGGACGGCCTACTCCATTTTTTTAAGCCTCATCAAAACCACTCTTCGGAAATGAAACCCCCTTTAAGATTTTAGCCCACAGGTGGTTTGGTTCCTGTAAAATTTCCCAACCCAACTTAGCTAAAAAGGCCAAATTATAAGCCTAAAAAAAAAATATATGAAAAAAAAAATTCATATAAACAATTCAGTCATAAATAATTTCAAACCAAAAAAAAAAATCATATCAATCAAATGTTTGACAAAATTCATAGCCCAAGTTTCGTCTTTTTTTAATTAAATATTTATCCTTCACTATTCTAAATATATTGTTTTTAAAAAAAAATTCAAAGGCTCTGTTTTCTCAATTCAATAAAGAATTAAGCTCTTCTAGGCCAAGAGCGCAGCCAAACATACATTTATGATAAACAAAATCTTGTCACAGTACAATATAAAAAAGAAAGCACTAGCATACCAAATTCAGTTGACAGTCTGAAGTAGAGAAGAATGGTGCCATCTGATCTAAAGATCAAACACTCCCATAAAAGTCATTCTTGATTCTAACCATCATCATGTCTTCTCAAGGCATCAGCTAAATCAGGACAAACTTAAATATACTAATCTTCTTTCACATCAATATTAAAATTTTTAACAGCATCCAACTTAGAATTCCAAAACATCGTATAATCACGCATTGTAGAACTTAATGAATCTACAATATAAAAACCTCAAAGATAGACCCATATCTGAGTTATTTCCATGAGGAAGGGTTTGAAATAGTTTTCCTCAATTGCAGTATTTATAGGAAGATCCTGTCCGCCCTCTAGATTGTATAAATTATTCCCTCGTTATTCACTTGTTAGAGACATTCTTCAGAAGCTGCCCATTGTGGCATGGTTGGTCACTCATGGCCTCTAGCAAGATGATCCAATTATCTTGGTGAAAGAAGACAAAGATCTTCTGTATTCCCCTACGAATCAAGAAGGAATTCTGAACAGTACAAAGACACCACAAATTTCTAGCACGACTCAATCCAGTTCTCCGATCCCCAAAATTTCTGCAGTAAAACCAGTTGCCGCCGATGACACTCCAACCACCTTCGGTGATCACGTCGTAGAGATTTGACGCTCGCACATGGGGGAACCCTAAGAGAGAAAGATTCAGGAGATACCCTGAGTTTCAGTGGCTCTCCTAATATTTAATCCGAAACAGAGGGAAGAAACGCGTAAACCTTCAAACTTTAATTTCCAGTTACATAAATTCATTCAAACATGAGAATATTTTACCTTGCAAGCTTGTGGGCTTGACGGAGATCGGATTGTCCTCATGAGAGGAATCACCATTTTTTGTTGATAAACCCAGAAGACTATGAGGACATTGTGGCTATTTGTCTGTGGACACCAGGAGCGTCAGGTTTTACGGTTTTAAAACACTCAACGGCTAGTGGTTTTGTGACCGTTGGATGGTTATTTTCAAATGTAATAATATATCCGGAAATTAAAAGCGTATAATGAATCTAATTTAGGAAGCTAACTATAGCCCCCATATCCAAAGCCCAAATAAAACATGGCTCGACGGTTCATTTTCAAATGGGTTAAGAGTAAAATATATTGACTATCCCTGTATTATGACTTAACCCTTTTATTTTGAAAGCACACATAAACTTTCCTTAAAATTAAAATATATGCGACATAAATTTCTATCTCTACCGACAAAATAATTTTTCTCTATAACTAAAAAAATTGTAATAAATAAATTTTTCAAATTTTTGTTATATTATAAAATTTATTAATTTTTATTTTTATCAAATTTATTGAAACTTGTGTATGTTTTCAAAAATTTGTAAAAACATATTTTTGTTCATCACGTATTATAAAATGACATAAGTTAAAGAGATTATATAAATAATCTAAATTTAAAATTTAAAATTTGTAAACTTGTTTTTTACAATGAAATTATGTAATTGTCAAAAGGGTTAATGAGCAAAATGAACCATGAACTCTTATTCGAAAAGCGCCCTAGACTCTGACCTTTTAAAATATGTAAAATAAACTCTAAATTTTTAAATTCGTAGTAAAATAAACCTTGACCGTTAATTTTTTTAATGCCATTACTGTTCACATGGTACTATTCACCGTGGGCCCAGTTAATGTCGTGTCATTATTAATTAGTGCCACAAATCCTTCATCATGCAAAATATTCATGATTATTAAAAAGTTATGGTAGTATCCTAACGAACAGGGTATAAGTCCAGACTTCGATAGAAACATGCATATATGAATATTTTATAGTTATTATCGTTTTGAAAATCGTTGGCTAGGATGGAGTGCTAAGAATAATATTAATATCTTATTATTTGGTTTGAGTTTTAAATCTTGACTAATATTCTTTCTTTACATTTCTATGGAACCTGAAGGTGATGATATCATAAAAGAGGAGATCTTCTACAAAGATGTTTAGAAATCTTTCCTTTTCTTGTTGAACTATCTCTGGCTCTTCCTCCCTTCATGAAAGATGATCATCCTCTTCAAATAACATTTTTAAAGAAGAAATCCATTTTCCAAAAATTAACCAAGACATTGACATATGGAAAATGCTAGAAGTTGATAAAAATGCCCTTTATAAACCAGAAGGAAAATTATTCTTTAAATTTTATTATATTATTAGATATGTTGAAGAATGAGTTATGGAAAATGTAACCCTTGCTGTGCCACAACCAACTCCTAATATTGGGAGTATTAGGCAAACATCTACAGGAATTGTAAGATTAGTGTTTGATAGAAGGAATTCATTTAATGACACTTCTTTTAGGCAGGATCAAGAACCTTTAATGATTTTAGAATTATACCTTATGAATTACCAAGGCATTCAATCTCTTCAATACCCCTGACCATGCCTTCAACAATACATTTACAAGGCCTAGATATATCATCCAATATCTCAAGGTTAACCTATCAAAGAGATAAGGAAGATTAGAATGGTAAATCCATGTGGTATGGCCCACACTAAGTTTTCACGTAGTGGTTGGCATATTTCATTATTATATGTGCTTAGTATTGCCAAAAATCTACGAGTGTGGCATGGGTTGAACACAATGCTCAATATCACCAATTTTGGAGACGGTGTAGATTAAGCACGTATGACACCCTAAAATTTAAGAAAGGGGAACCCATGGTCAAACAATGAGTACGGGAGCCTTTAGCTGGGTGACCCTTCACAATTAGAGAGCAAGGCTAATATAAAGGGGGACTAGACCTATACGAGTTGTTAGACTATGGGTTCAATCATAAGATATAAGGAATGAGGGATATAAGGTAGTTGCATTGATCATGTGGCATAATATCATGTGTTATAATATGATTAATGTGTGATTGACCTATATGATATAAACTGCCTATTCGCTTATATGTGACACACTTTAATATAGTTTAATTAAGTTTCTTGGTTACTAGGATTGGTTAATCTCATTCTCGTTTATTAATATCATTACAGGAGACAATAAGGCGAAGGGAAAGGGGGAGGCATCAATGCCAAAAAACTAGAGTTTATCTTGTAAAGTCTCAAGTTAATTTATCAGTAACTGACATTATTTTGCCAACAATAGGGGTTTTTCATATTGACTTATATTATTTGAAGTTCCCTTGCAATGGTAACCTTAAACTTTGAGTTTAGGTATTTTTGGATTGTCTTGGCCATAGTCTCTAACTTAAATTAAAAAAGTAAAAAATTTTAAAACTTTAAATGACAGGTGTTTCAAACACCCGTTCGTCATTTAAAGTCCTAACAATATATGACGGGTTTTTTAAACACCTGTCATATATTTAGGGCCAATGTTTTAGTTTCTTGAATGAAAAAAAATTTAGGGCCAATGTTTAAAACAACAGTCATTTAAAGCCTCAATGATATATGACGGTTGTTTAAAACACCGGTCATATATTCATAAATAAATGACAGGTATTCTCATTTTTATTCAATTTTCAGACTCATTTTTTCATTCTCGCCCGTTCTTCTTCTCTATTTTCTCTCTTCTCTACTTCTACACTAAATTGGTAGAAATCTCTCAATCTGCCTCTATTGCTATCGTCAACCACCTTAGTCCCTCTCTGACGTGAAAGTACTCCTCCTATGCTGTCTGTTGCCTTTCTCATTTGCTTCCTCTTTGTGTTTCATTTTCTCTTCTCCAAGGTACATGGGTTTGTGATTTCTATGGTTTTTCTTCATTTTCTTCCAATATGCTTAGATTTCTAGGTTATGAGATTGGTTTATTTAATATTATGGCTTGTTTTATTAGTTGATTTTTGTTGTTTAAATTTCTCCTCATTTGTTGTCCATTTTAATATTGTGGGGTGTTAAAAATTGTTAATGTTTGATATTTTATTGACTTGAGAATGATAGTAGATAATATACTTGGCCTTAGGATGATTATTAAGATGAAAATTAGTGATCAAAATGGGATATTTATGATGATTGTACTTTTCTATGATTTTTGACTAATTTATTTCAATAATTTTTAATTTAAATTTCGTGCATTGTTTGATCAGAGTAGTTTTATTATTCAAAACTACATAGTGAAATGTACTAGTGTATCAATTTTCATTACAATTAGAGTTCATTTTAAAGACCAAAACTGACACGCAATTTCTCTAAAAAACATTATTATTTTATTGATATTTTTACATTTGGTAAAGAATGATTTGTTCTTGGCTTGAAATTGCTAATATAGAATATGTGTAACCTTAGAATGATCAATGAAATAGAAAACATTAATTTAACATGATGTTTATAGTGTTTTTCTTTTTTCTATGATTTTTGAACGAATTATATATATAATTTTATAATAATTAGAGTTAATTTGAAAATGCTATTTTGTGAGAATTTTGTTGGTTTTATAATTGTATATGGTTGGAATTAGTTTGTTGAGTGAGATGCCAAGATTGAAAAGAGGATTTTAGCTCGAGAGATACTTTCTTTATGTCGTAATGTTGCTAAATTTTTTTCGGTGTTTGAAGGAGTATGTGAATGCTCATGCATTATGACTCATGATTCATTAATTACTCTATATTATATGTAGAGCAGTCAATTTCTTTATTGATAATCTTTCTATCATTCCTTTCCTCTCCATATTCATGAGTCACTAATCACATTTCCTTGAATGGATGTCTTTTAGATTAAAAAGTTATGGATAAAGAATGAATGTCTTTCAATCGATTAAGTAAAGAATATTTGAATGGTGTGAAAGAGTTTATGAGGTTTTCTCTTGAGCATGTAAAAGACCCTAGAAGAATAGTATGCCCTTGTGTAAGATGTGGTCTTTTGAAGTAAATTAGTGCATCTGAAATGGAATACCATTTAGTGTGCTATAGTATTGATGAAAATTACAAGTGTTGGCATAAGTTAGGGTAAGTAACTTACCCATCATTTATACTAACTTCAAATGATAGATATCTTATTTACCTGTCATTTATATTTTCATTTCACTTGTCTTTCTATAAAAATTTTATTTTAAATGATGGTTTTATAACCATCATTTATTAGTGGACTTTAAATGTCAGCCGAATAAATGATGCGTATTACCCGTCATCTATGGACTAAAATAACTGTCATTTATTTTCTTTTTTGTACTAGTGTAGCCTTTCCATTTCCATTACCAATGTTGAGAATATAATTGCCTTCTAACACTCTTCCATTAAAAGTTGATAGATTCGATTTTTGCAAAGTTCTCCAGCCTAACTTAGCCAATCAAACACAATTATGAGCCTAAAAAAAAATCCATTCGTAAATAATTTTAAACCAAAATTTAAGGAAAAAAAAATCACATCAAATGTCTCATAAAATTCATAAAATAAATTAAAAAAATATCTTTTGTACGTAAGAGCATTTTGGGGGGAAAATAAACTACTCATGCACTTATTATAAGGGTTATATTTCCTTGTTTGACTTGTCTGCAAAGTGATTTCCAATTTATTTAAAAAAAATTGAACATTTCTATCAAGTTATTATAACCTCAAATTGTACATTGCAGCAACTGAATTTTATCACAGTGAGTTAGCCATCCTAATCAAGAGTGTGGGTATGTATGTATGCAAGTTTAATTGTATGTGTACATAGAGAGAGAGAGGGAGAGAGAGAGAGAGAGCAGTGTGATGTCTGCTCACCCTATAATTGGTCAGTCCACTGGATCAGCAATCTTCTCTTCGCAAATCTCTTTCATGTTTTCTGGGTGAGGAATACAATGAATAAACAATTGATGTCAGAATTAGAACAAAAGAAGACAACAAAACAAAGAACTAAATAATTTAATTTGAGAAAGACATAGAATTGTTGATTATTGCACTGAATTTAAAATTGAAATAGATTTGAAGGAAAACAAAGTGAAAAGGACA